GTTTTCTTTGGGATAGTAATACATGTTTGGTACTGAACTTCACAAAACTAATCAGGAGTCACACAGAAATAAGGAGGAAGCATGATAAAGACAATTTAACCTTGGAAGACCAGGATCTACTGTAACTCAGAATTGATAATGGTTGCAATAGAAATGTGTGAAAGATTACATTGCTTTGATCAATATCCACTTCCCCACCCAACTGAAGACTCGCCCATGTGACTTGCTTTGGCCAATGAAAATGAGTGGAAGTGACGTGTGTCGCAGCCAGGTAGGAGCTTCGAGAGTTGGTTCACACTTTGACAAACTCTGTTTCTCTGCTGTGATGCTCACGCTGTTCAGACAGAGACTCCTCCTTCAGGCTAGTCCCAGAGTGAGAAGTAGTCCAGAGCTGTGGTCAGTCCACTATGACATGAACCATGAGTGAGAAACAGAACTTTGCTTTTGTAAGCTAACGCAATTTTGTCTGTGACCACAGCATACCCCTGCCTAATCTGCCACTGAAAGCTAGAATGGTAGGATATCAATGAGTAAATGCAATTCTCGTGGGGTTGATTAGTGAGAAGTGTGGAGAATCCTTCCTTCTAGGGAAAACCAGCTGGCTGGAACTCAGTAGGAGAGACAATGATTATAGTTCGAACGGTCCTTTTGTAGGGAAAACAGTGTATTCACTGCTGGTTGTGTTTTATGTGTCGATCTGTCCATATATCTGTTTCAGTTAGCAGAGAGGAATAAAATTAGTTATTTTATGGAGGGAAATAAATAATGAAAAGTGGTTGCTTATCACTTTATTATTTTTCAACCATGCTTTGCAATTCAAATTAATGTACTTCCTCTCAAAAAGTGGGCAGTTGCAGGGGATTGCAGGGGATAAAAGTCTAACAATTTGGTTGCCTATGACCTTGAGGCAGGGTTTTTCTATCATTCACTTATAGTATTTCCTAGTCTTATGACTTACTATTTCCACTTGCACGTGCATTATATTGCTTTTTAGTCTTTAGCTTGTATTATTTGAGTGTGACTGTTATCACTACAGTAGCACATCTTCAATGTTATTGATTTGTGAGAAAGAGCTCACCCAAGTGAAATGATGATGGTTAATAGTTCATGTTTCCACTAAAAAGGTTTGACTTGAGGAGTCTCCCAGCTGTAAAATTCTATAATCTCTACACTATTAAATAACTACATTTAAATCATTAAGTCACCTATTTCATTATGAGAAAGAACTGTGACATATCAAAAAGGCTACAAGTATTGGTGTGGCCCAAACCGTGAGGTCTGGCAAGTCTCTTAACCTTACTAAACCTGTTCCTCATGTGTCAATTGTCAACAATACCTTTCTCAGAAATTTATTGTCATGTCTAAATGAGATACTATATTTTGGGGTTCTTTGCTAGTTTTAAAGAATGATATAAATAAAAGAAATTATCACTGTGTAAAAGATACTATTCATTCATTCTTTTATTGAGCCATCCATTCATTTGTCCAACTACCACGCACCCATTAAATATTTATTAAATGCCACTCATAAGGGTAGCGAGTAGGGTTCCTTTCCTGTAGGGAGCTCACAGTATAAGCTGGAGACAGAAGAGGGGCTATATCATCAAAGGTCTTGGACACCATGTTAGGGAGGTCATATTTTATCTTGTAGGAGGTGGAAACCCATGGAAGAATTTTAAGGAGAGGGATGTGACTAACTCTGCACTAAAGCAGTCTAGCAGTCTAGTAGGGGGATGGAGTGGAGGGAATGGGACAAGAAACAAGATCAGTGGCAGTGGGGCCATTGCTCTTCTAGTCACTGTCTGAGACCTCAAGCAGTGCTTGGCCCTGGGTAGTCCTGAAGCTGCGGCATGGGAGACTCCTGGATCCGCGTGGGTACTGAGATGTGAAGAGACAGGGAGGGTAGGGACACAAGTCCATCAATTACACTGGCAAGGCTCACTAAGACACAGCCTAAATTGTCTTGTTACCAGGGATTCACCCCGCACACTCTACATTGTCCACTGTCCCTCACTAAACTGGTATCTAGGGAAGCACTGGGGATACTAAGGACATAATGGGTCTTGATCTTACTTTGATCATTACATTCAATCTGGCTTCCCTTGTAAACCAATCCCCAGTAGAACTAACAAACATCAAACTGTAGAAAAATTGTCATACTTGTGTTATTCCTTTGCTCTAGTCTTCATTTTCCAGTAGAAATATCAGGAGGTGGGAAAGCCAGAAGCCTACATAAACCAAAAATTCTTTCATGAATTCCTCATCCTCCCCTTCTGCTGACCATAATAAATAAAAACAGATATTTAAGCACATAATATTTATAGATCTTGCCATATGTGTAAATATATATGTGTATATCTTTCCACATATATAAATTGAAATTATACTTTTTCTCAAAATTTGTATTGATAAATTCAGAATATCATGGAATACCAAAAAGGTGCCAACTCTGGAAGCTTATTGTCTTCGTTTCAAATCCTGGCTCACCTTCTTGCCAGCTGTGCAACCCTGAATAAGTCACCTAACTTCTTTGTGCCTCAGTTTCTTTAACTACTAAATGGAGAAAATTGTGTTTCTGCCAATTAAAAGTGTTTTGAAGGGTTCTATGAATATAAAGGGCTCAGAAGAGAGTCTGGACCAAAGTAAGAGCCTCATTAATGTTAATTTTTATTAATTATATTAGCATGACTACTCTTCATGTTGCGAAGGAGGCAAGTGTGCCTTTCTAAAGATAGAAGTATCGAATTTAAATGTAAGACAAGCAAGAAATTTGCTTTTACTCAGCACAGAGGCAAATGCAGTCAGAGGACAGTGGGACAGAAACTTAGAACAGGGAGGTAAGTCCAGTTCCTTTTAGAGTCACCTTGTTAATTACAGTTTCAGCATCTCAGCCATTTGCAAACACTCTTCTCTAGCTGAACTGATTTTGGTGACTGCTTTTCCCAGTTCTCCATCCTCTCCCTGGTGTCATCAGCCCTGATCCTGACCTCCACTGACATATAGATTTCTGTTTTCCAAGTATCAGAATTTCTGGGTGCTCACCTTAGGCTAAATGCCACATGCAGGACATATCTGAGTAGTCTAAATAGAGCTGTGCCTGGGTTGGCGCCAATTCTTCTTGCACCAGAAATACTAATCTCCTTGCAGGTGCTTTCAAACTGACTTCCTAGTAGAACAGCAATAATCAGTATCATCACATTCTAACTTTACTCTAGATTGCTAAGTCTTTGAAGTTAGGGACTGGTTTTTATTGAAACTATAAATTGCTATATGAATGCAGTAAGGATTCCCTCTACTTAATTCACAAAATATAAAAAAATGAAGCAATGGAAGAAACTGCCTAGTACATTTGAGTTTTAAAAACTTAAAAAAATTCAATAAAAATTAATTTATAAAATAAAAAAAAATAAAATAAAAAAAATAAAAACTTAAAAAAATTACTCACCACAAAAAAAAAATGGTGATTATGCAACAGATGGAGGTGTTAGCTAATGCTATGGTGGTTATCCTTTGCCATGTATAAATGTATGAAACCAACATGTTGTACACCTGCAGTGAAACTTACACAGTGCTATTTATCAATTATTTCTCAATAAGGCTGGAAGAAGAAACTTTAAAAAACTCAAAAATAAAAAAATAAAAACCTCAAGAATCTTAGGCAATATTAAAGTGTAAATGACAAATTTGGAAAACTTTATGCGTTATGACAACTGAGAAATGAATTTCCTTAAGGGGTAAGAAATGCCTACAAATCAATAAGGAAAATACTGATAATAGAGCAAGCATAAGAAATTTGTGGCAGGAATAATTAAAATCAATAAACATGATAAATTTTCAACTTCACTAGTGATCATATAAACATGAAATAATAAAATGATACTTTTTTGGCCTATAAAATTGGTAATGATTAATGATTAAAATAGGCAATTATGACAAAGCTACAATAAAAATTGTCTCTCACATTGTCCAAACAGTACAATACTCTAGGAACAGAATCTGACAATATGTTAGCAAGGGCTAGCTAAAGGCCTTAGAAGAATCCATACCTTTGATCCTGTGATTTCAATTCTAGAAATCTCTTCCATGGAATTAGGGATTCATAAAAAGATTTTTGTACAGAGTTGTTTACTACAGTCTTGGTTATGATAGCAAATAAACCCAGTAACATCACTAACAACAAAAGAACAAAACAAGACAAAAACAAAAGAACCTGAAAAGGAATATTTTTAATGAGTTAAAGTTAGAAAATGCACAAATTTTGGTTCACTCATATGGTAGAATTATTACTCACCATATTTAAAAAATAGTTTTTATTGAGGGGCGCCTGGATGGCTCAGTCAGTTAAGCGTTCGCCTTTGGCTCAGGTCATGATCTTGTGGACCTGGAATCAAGCCACAGGCTCCCTGCTCATCAGAGAGTCTGCTTCTCCCTCTCTCTCTCCTTCTGTGCTTTCTCTCCCTCTCTCACTCCCTCAAATAAATAAACAATCTTTAAAAAAAGTTTTTATTTTATTTTATTTATGTATTCATGAGAGACACAGAGTGAAAGGTAGAGACTAGGCAGAGGGAAAAGCAGGCTCCTCGTGGGTAGCCTAATGGAGGATTTGATCTCAGGACCCCAGGATCATGACCTGAGCCAAAGGCAGATGCTCAACCACTGAGCCACTCAGGTGTCCCCTAAAAAAGTTTTAATTTAAATTCCAGTTAGTGTATTATATAGCATTAATTTCAGGTGTACAATTTAGTGATTCAACACTTCCATACATCCATCCTGTGCCCATCACAAGTGCCCTCTTTAATCCCCACCACCTATTTAGCCCATCCTCCCTGCCCACGTACCTTCTTTCTGGTAACCCTCAGTTTATTCTCTGTGGTTAAGAGTGTTTCTTGGTTCGTATCTCTCTCTCTCTCTCTTTTTTCCCTTTAGTTTTTTTGCTTTGTTTGTTCCATATATGAGGGAAATCACATGGTATTTGGATTTCTCTTTCTTTTTATTTGTGCAAAAATATGGAACCTTCGTGAATTTGTGTGTCATCTTTGCGCAGGGCCCATGTTAATCTTCTCTGTGTCATTCCAATTTTAGTATATGTGCTGCCAAAGTGCGCTGTACCCACCATATTTTTTAAATAGAGACTTTATTTATTTATTTTATAACTGGTATTGGACTCCAGAGATTCAAATCTATTTATTTATTTATTTATTTATTTATTTATTTATTTATTTATGATAGTCACACACAGAGAGAGAGAGAGAGGCAGAGACACAGGCAGAGGGAGAAGCAGGCTCCATGCACCGGGAGCCCAATGTGGGATTTGATCCTGGGTCTCCAGGATCGCGCCCTGGGCCAAAGGCAGGCGCTAAACCGCTGCGCCACCCAGGGATCCCGAGACTTTATTTTTTTAAGATTTTATTTATTTATTTGAGAGAAAGAACCCATGTGGGGGGGAGGGGCAGAAGGAGTGGGAGACAGAGAATCTCAAGCAGACTTCCTGTTAAGTGCAGAGCCCCACTTGGGGCTCCATCTTGACCCTGAGATTACGACCTGAGCTGAAATGAAGAGTCTGATGCTTAATGGACTAAGCTACCCAGGCACCCCCTACCATATTTTTAATGCATCCATTATTAGCCATGTTTGGAAATAATTTTTAATAATATGAAAATATATGCATATATGCATGCATATTATACATATTATATATCACAGACATTATATCAAGCTGTTATTAACCATGTTTTAGAGGAAATTTTATTAACTTAGGTATATATAGATATATATGTAGGTATGATAATACATAATTACATCATAATAAAATACTGCCTACATTTAAAAAAGTAGAACTACACATAAACACAAATGGATATATACACACTGTAGAAAAAGACTGGAAAGAAATAAATGAAAACCTTAATTGCATGTTACTGCTGTTTGATAGAAATGATGAGGCTAAAAGAAACTTAAAATAGCATGAGCAATCCTGTTATAGAGATGTGATTTCTGCAGCATTTTTGCATACTTTTCAGTTTGAGCCTCACTATAATCCTGTGGGTAAGTGCAGGCAGGTATTATTTTCCCTTTTTATAGAGAAGATGCTGAGGCTCAGGGAGGTGCTTGGTTTAATCAAGGTTAAAAGGCAGAGCTGAAATTTGAACATGAGTCATTTGACGCCATATCTGGAGCTGCTTTCACTAAACTCAGTTGACTCTTTAAGATCAAGTGGCTAGAAAATCCATAGCTATTGGGAGGCCAGGAAATGGTGAGAACCTCCAGTAATAATGCTTGAAAGCTTCATAGCTGTTAATAAATAGGAAAAGTTGATTGAGATTCTAAGTGGTAAATGCAAATGAAAATTTCTTCAGGGTAAAAGGAAGTTATTTATTATCGCAATATCTTAGCACACTGGCTAAATTGAAGAGCCTTTTTCATGCATCATTCCTGAGACTTTTGAGGGAAAGTGAGTGGGTATTACCTCAGTCTACACAAAAGGAGACAAACTCATAAATAAGGGAAGTATACATTTGACACACACACATGAGGCAGGGGGCAAGAGTAAGGTGAATTTCACATTCCTGGCATCTGCTTCATGCAGTGGCTTCATATTCTTCTACCCCAAAGAGGGTATACTGCTATGGGGTACTCAGGGCTTGTTCACAGGGGAGTATGAGCAGATGCACCACTCCCTGAGATGCATAGCCCTCTACTTTAGCTTATTTCCTTTCATATTTCATTTTGTGCTCCCAAATAACTTGAGCATTCTTAGCCAAGAATTCTGGAATTAGAAAAATGAGCATTGGAGTGATTTTATACTTCTCAGGAAGCCACAACATGTAACCTTTACTCCTCCCTCATTTGAAAAAAAAAAAAAAAACAAAAACAACTGTAGTGTGATTGTTACAGGAACTCCCTGTGGGATATCTCCTGGGTGCCAATTATTTTGATCTCTCAGTATCAGGTTTTTATTTCATTTCATCAGTAAGTACTCATTTGTATAATTTTCTCTTTCCTCTTAAAGAATTACCTATTTCATTCCAGATAAAAGTTTTCCATCAGTTTTGTCTGGCTAGAGTACTTTGCCTTCTGAATTTTCTAAATATTTTTCTCAATCCCTCAAATCACTTTGCATAGATAGATCTAGTGTTCATTATTCCTAAAATGTAAAATACTATGCTAATTTATTTTATGCTTGATTCTACTTTTGTCCTATGGCATACTGAAAAGCATTCTGTGCAAAGGAGACACTGATAACTATTAATAGCTGATTGGGAAATATCATGACTCATACATATTTAGAATACTGCCTAATAACAGTATATTTTGGCAAACATTCTTTACATTACAAAAATGGAATGTGTGATAAGCTCTTTTTTTTTTCAAGTTCTGATAGGTCTTATCAACTTAGAAATCATAACCTAATGTCCGGAAGTAGGTACATTCAGCTCTGGTTACAACTTTGCTGGCCCTCTCAACCTCGTATCTTATCATTTAATCCCCATATTTGAACTCTTAACAAATGAGAGCAAAGTATTGGTGGGGTTAGATTATTGTATGTAAAAATATGCTAGGTGATAAAAAGGGTAACACAAACATATATGCAGGACTCTAAAGTAAGACTAGTGCTTGTTTGTGTCTGGAGAATGTAGGTGCATTAGTTTAGGCACTTTGAACCATTCTGGGGCTTTAATAGGTTTATAATATACTTAGGGAAGGAAAGTAAGCATACTCACCTGAAATTAATTTTTATTTATTTATTTATGATAGTCACAGAGAGAGAGAGAGAGAGAGAGAGAGAGAGAGAGAGAGGCAGAGACACAGGCAGAGGGAGAAGCAGGCCCCATGCACTGGGAGCCTGACGTGGGATTCGATCCCGGTCTCCAGGATCACGCCCTGGGCCAAAGGTAGGCGCCAAACTGCTGCGCCACCCAGGGATCCCTCACCTGAAATTAAATAGCAGTGTAAACCAAACAATAATCAAGGCAGTATAAAGCTTGTCAAAAATGTTCTGGAGAGGAGCTTAGTTTAGATTGGGAGAAATTGCTGTATTGTAGAGTCATCAAGGAAGTTTGGAAGAAGAATTGGTAAGAATGACTGCAATATGGTGAGCAATAACATCAACTTTAGGTCAAGACAGGCCTGGGTTTGAGTTCTGGCTTTGTGATCTTGAGCAAGTTATTTTACTTCTCTGAGCTTTAGTTGTTTCTATTAAACTGGCTTAATAAAACTTATTTTGTAGATGTGTTAGAAGAATTCAATAAGATGAAGTATATAAAGCATTCAGCTTAGTTCCTGGTACACAGTAAATGCTGAACAATGGTAGCTGTTATTAATTAAATTGGAGCTTAAATGTTGTATTTCCACAGTGGGAGTTGAGATTGAGGGAATAGGAGAGATAGGACAGAAAAATAAAAGCCAAAGATCTTATTGGTGGGGGAAAGGAATGCACAAGGATGAGAAGACCTAAATATGCAGATATGTTTAAGAAGAATGTAAGGACTACACTGATGATTTCTGGGGGGCCAAGGATGCTACACCATTTATCTTAAACAGAGTCAATTTGCTTTAGGTCACAAACCATTTATTTGACCTTAGCAGGTGGCTTGGCATCTTCCTTTTGGATGGTGAGATGATGTTTTTTGGCAGGGTTAATATCCTATATTTATTTGGTTTCTTGCTTCACAGCACCGTGGAGTGTCTTACACATTATATAGTTCTTTTATGGCACACCTGTGAGGTAGGAAGAGCTATGGCTAAAAATGCCTGACGTGAACTGAATGGCCCACAGCAGGTGGTTGCGCTGTGCAGATGGGCCTGGCTCCAGGGCTTCTTCTTCCCAGAGCCCCCTGTAAAAGCCCATGTGGACAATTATGGTGTTTCTCATTACACAGCTGTTCTTGGGAAGGAGCACCGAGCACTGTCAGTACTCAAGCAAGAGGCTTCCAAGTCTTCTGCAAATAAGTCATGTGAACAGTTTTGCTTTACACATATGGAATAGGGATCTGTAATTATGAAATTACTTGCAGGTAATTTCCACAATAGCAAGGTGTCAGTAAGCAGGTGCCTCCTCATGTTTGCAAAAGGGATCATTCCACTTCTAAAATATTTATTTTTATAATCTCTTTCATGTTCGACTTGTGCTTTTCTTTGCACAGATCACAGTCGTTTCTCTTTTCCTCTGATGAATGACCAGATGAGCGGAGATGGCAAACATCTTATGAAGCCCTGTAAATTTTGGAGAACATTTGTATTCACCAAAGTCACAAAGCTAAGGCAAAAATGACCTCGCTGGATATTCCTCATTGTTTTGTGAGCAGTGAAAGGAAAACGCTGGGTGAAGGAAATTCTCTCATGCAGGATTGCAGAGGTGAAGGACTTGCATGGCAAAGATGCTCAGGGACCATCTAAATGATGTTTTGTTTTTCTAGAAGAGAGCTGAAGCCAAGAGAATTTAAGTCAGCGGTTCTCAACTTTGACTGCTATTGGCCTTACCTGAGGAGATTTAAAAACAACTTCTTTCTCGGCTCCATCTCCAAGGTCTCTAATGTAGCTGGTTTGGGGTGTGGTTAGAACATCCTGAGTTTTAAACCTCTGCAGGTGATCTTCTGCATAGCCTCACATTGAAAACTGTTTTGTTCTATGAAATACACAGTACCACTTGTACTAATGAACTAATATGCTCTTAATAACATATGCCAATCTGAGCATCCAGGATATGTCAATAGGAGCCCAAACTGCTAACTCTGAAGTGATTTCTTCAAGCTTCCAAACTTCTTTCTTTTTTTTAAATTTTTTATTGGAGTTCGATTTGCCAACATATAGCATAACACTCAGTGCTCATCCCGCCAAGTGTCCTCCTCAGTGCCTATCACCCAGTCACCCCAACTCCCTGCCCACCTCCCCTTCCACTACCCCTTGTTCATTCCCCAGAGTTGTATGTCTCTCATGTTTTGTCACCCTCACTGATATTTTCACTCATTTTCTCTCCTTTCCCTTTATTCCCTTTCACTAATTTTTATATTCCCCAAATGAATGAGACCATATAATGTTTGTCCTCCTCCGATTGACTTACTTCACTCAGCATAATACCCTCCAGGTCCATGCACGTCGAAGCAA